GACAATGGAGAAAGGTAAAGACTCGATTTTCGATATATGCGTCGTATGAATATTATTATTATACTTGTAGTGGACAAGTTTGTTGTTATTCCCTTGGGCAAGGGCGAATAGTTACGATCTGATTTTGTCACTTCGCAGTGTCAAACTAAATCCTTTAAGGTAGATGGGGTGTCTAAATTATAATCCATAGATTTTTTTAATAATTTGCCAAAATGTAGCTTATATCATGCTTTTTTTTAAAAAAATAATAAAAAGAATGGGTCACGGGGCTTATTTTCACGCTACAGGTTGTGCAAAATTGACAGATTTTGTATAGATTATGCATGGAAAACCCAATTTTCTGCCATAAAATGAAAACTACACCATAGAATTTTGAGATAAAATATGAGAAGATAGCTCTAATATTGTGCTTTCAGATAAGAAAAAGAAAAATGGGGTCACGGGACCCGTTTTCTTGCTACATACAGTCCCTGTAACGTAAAAGTTAACACTTTTTTCATTCGGGAATCGTACGTACAGCGTTCGGGAATCGTTCGTATAGAGTTCGGTCATCGTTCGTACATCATTCGTATAGCGTCCGTACAACGTTCGGTCAGCGTTCGTTCATCGTTCGTTCATCGTATGGTAAATGTCATCGTTTAGGGTTTTGTATATCGTATGGTTCATGGTATCGTTAAGCGTTTTATTTGTCGTATGGTACATGGTATGGTTTAGCGTTTAGCGTTTAGCGTTTCGTTTATCGTATAGTATATGATATCGTTAAGCGTTTCATCTATCGTATGGTATATCGTTTTGTTAAGCGTCTGATATATGTTAGGGTTTTATTTCAGAAAGTTATTTCAATTATTATTTTGAGTTAAAATAAATTAATATAAAAAGATGCGGGATAAAAAAAAACAATTATTAGTTTGGATTGATTGAAAGTTGGTTGCGTACTAGTATATCCCAAACAACCAAACGGATGCCCCCACTTTGGCAAGTTTTTTTTTTACTGCCAGCCGTGAGAAAACCTTTAGTGACCATATTTATATCCTTTTGTCACCCTTTGGACTATATTAGATTGGAAAGATTGGATTGGAAACATTTCACTTGTTAATTAAAGCAAATAAGTTATCTTATTTATTATATATTTTGTTTCATACTAACTGCGTAGTTCTTGATGTCTTTTTGTGATTTTGAATCATTTCAAATTCGATCTTATAAAATGTTAAAAAAAAAAACTAACTTATACAATAACCTTAGTTAATTGAAACGTGAACTATTTATTTACATAAAACATATTTAGTCGTAAAAATAGTATTGGTTGTAAACGTTTTATCTTGATTGAGAAACGTTTAGCAATGCAATAAACTTACTTTAAATGTACTATAACTTAACGTAGATTTCGAACTGTAAACCATATCTTACCGATAGAAAAAAAATCTGCAACTAATATCATTATAGAATACCCTGCTATATAAAACGAAGGGGAAACATTTCCTTACACCACATTTTGACATGAATAACATGAGACCAATTTGAAATACCGCGAAATAAGTCTCTCTCTTTCTCTCTCTCTCCTCCACCAAATATTTCCTTGAAACAATAAATTATATATAATGTTCTATAAATGAGGCTTTATATGAGATACACGTTTTATATTTAAATGTATTTAAAGAAAAGACAAGACATCCATGGTATTTGTTCCCCTCAATGTCACAGTCTGATATAAACCGAAAATTGCCAGGGATATATAAAAATTCGTTGAAGACTTCTATGGAACCAGCGTCGCTTGTGATTCCTGCTGTCGGTGTTAAAACTGTTATTTTGACTGTAAACAGTGCTTAAGTCCATGTATGAGTAAAATACAGAATTAAAAAAATAACTCTACCGTTTTTTTATATTTCTTTATTTTAGAGGTAAGCTCCTGGCCAAGTTTCACCAATTTTAACGCAAATCATTTACCTTAAATAACCAATCAATTGTATTCTAAAAGTTGTTGATTTGTTCTGTGTACGAATACATGAAATATTTGTCACTGGACGTTATGCATGCAATCGATGATCAAATACAAATCTACAGTATTTATAAACATACTGCAGTTGTATATATGAAAGAGACTAAATAATATAAATTTTAATTATTTTACGCATATTTGAAGGATCGAAATAACCACTTCCACAAATGGTTGTTATTGAAAGACTTTAAATTTTACAAATATCACATGCCTCTATGAAATTTCATATCGACGCACCAAACTATTTCCTTTTATCGTGCATAGCTCATTTTCCAAATCACTTAAGGTTTTTAACGATCTTCTTACTTGTTCATTACATTCTAAAATTAAAATCCTACACAAATTGCCAAAACTTTTATTCTCAGGCTAGACAGCGTAAAAGATGAATACTGTTTTGTTAGTGTACACACGGTGTTTTGAAGGCCGATATCCAATTTCGCTGAAAAAGAATTAATTTGCGCCGCAAATTAATTTGGCTAATTCTTTTTTCGTATCACTTTATTTTAAAAACTGCAGCATTCATTTGCGCCAATAAAACAAGCATGTAATTGCGCAAATGTTATAGACTTATTTGCAAATTGTTGTTCTTAGTGCACTGAGGAGGCCCTTTGCGGTATTTCTACTTGTTCAATAAGAACAAAATATTGCACTAAGGACCAGTCCTGATGGAAATTCAATGATAGAATTGACACAAAAAACATGGCATATAGAAGGAATACAATTTCAAATTTTATAATCATATCTTTAGTACCCGGTAATTATAAATTTATTTAATGTTGTATCGACACGCGCCACCCTCTGTTGATTGTCACCTGTGTAATCGAAAGCAATTCATGTTCGTTCAACCTTGAACCGTTTTGAATCCGCTTGTATTTTAAATTAACATGTTTATGATATTTCAATTGTCTCTGATTTTTTTCGTCTGTTTGTTACTGTCGTATTTCTTTTGTTTTTCTGACTGTTATATTTTTTAGTTCAATGTAATAATGTATGTTCTACTATATTTTTATTTTTTTTTCCTTTTAATTTCTCTTGGTTGTTTGTAAACTTCACTTTTTTATAGTTCTCTAGTATTTTTTTACTACAAAATATTTTAGAATGTATATACTTGTTTACCAGCACATTAGATACACATGACTGTTCAAAGTATAACAGTTTATTACATTTTTGTCGAGCCTGCGACTTTTGTCGCAAAAGCGAGACGTATATCGATCCTACATTCCGTCGTCGGCGTCGGCTAGCGACATCCACATACTCACTCTGTGGTTAAAGTTTTTGAAATTTTAATTACTTTCTTAAACTATCCAGGATTTCTACCAACAGAAGAATGTTTATGATCATAAGATAGTATCCAGAAGTAAAGTTTGGAAAAAAAAATCCTGGTTATCTGTGTTTTACTTACATGTATAAATGGACTTTTTTCTCTCAGTTAACATTACATTCATTCTGTGGTTAAAGTTTTTGAAATTTAAATAACTTTCTTAAAATATCCCGGATTTCTACCAAACTTGGATAGAAGCTTGTTTATGATCACAAAATAGTATCCAGAAGTAAATTTTGTAGAATAAATCGTATTTTATTTATAAATGGAGTTTTTCTGCCAGCTAACATTATTTTCACTCTGTGGTTAAAAGTTTTAAATTTTTTAAAAACTTTCTTAAACTATCCTGGATTTGTACCAGTGGCACGCGCTGATTACAAAGTCATTTAACTTCAAAATAATAAAATCTATTCACACCAAACTTTATATTTATGAGTTATATACTCATATCTTCTTTTATCCATGTTCTTTGTGGTCTTAAAACATCGTTTTAGTGTCCTTAGTGCAAACACGTTGGTCTTAGTGCACTAAGAAGTCCTTTGCGGTATTTCTGCACACCGTTTTGATATTTAATTAATAACTGGATTCCCTCCTCCTAGCTATTTACGGGCTAGTTTCTGAGTGCTTAATGCATGTATGTGATCTTATTCACCATTCAAAATGATTGTGCACGAGTCATCTCTAAACAGCCTTGCAAAGCATGATTTAACAGCGCGCATTATGTTTCCATTTAATTTCTCCTTTTTCTATAATAAGTTCAAATGTTGCTTTATTAAATGCACCTAGGTACGTATTTGTAAACTTAATATGTTATTACTTTATTTCATGTATGTTTTGTGTCTTCTTTTTTGGCTTCAATTACTTATTTTTTTTTTATTGACTTATTCGTAAATCGAAAAACGCAGAAACCTAAATAGAATCATATGGCATTGAATGATTTCTCCAACTCAAAACTAGTTATAGATGCCTCTTAAATTTTATTTTTCTCGTTGGGTTGCTTGTCCATTAATTGACGTTTACGCAGTATTCTTTTTTTCGGTATTTGTAAAAAGCCGCTCATCGATCAATTTCACAAGAAATCTAATACTCGTAATTCATGTACATTGAAGTTTATCTTGCTATCAATTTTTCGTATACGCACACAGATAAAATAAATGAAACACTTTTAAGCTGTTTAAATCATGCAGTTAATTTTGAAAATATGGTTTTGAAAAACCGGTTATTTCTGTTTAATACTTTTCTGTCCCTTTTCTTAATAATTAGGACACGTGCCACTGGTTAATATAGAACTAGTCAACCATGAATAATCCCAAACAACAAATTTTTTGATTGGTTAATCATACTTGCTTATCAATTTCGTATTGTTTTCGGCTGAGACTACTATAACAGTTTTTTTTTTATATAGATTAGACATCCCATCAAACGTTAGTTTTCCCGTTTGAATGGTTTTACACTGAGTGTGTCTAGTAATTTTTGGGGCCCTTCATATAGCTTACTGTTCGGTGTGAGCCAAGGCTCCGTGTTGAAGACCGTACTTTGACCTATAATGGTTTACTTTTTTAAATTTTGACTTGGATGGAGAGTTGTCTCATTGGCACTCATACCACATCTTCTTATATCTATAGTAGTCTCAGTTTTTGGCAATATTGTAACAATATCCTTTAGAATTTTAAATTGCTTTAGTCGTTTAATATATAATTTATTTTTGTTGTTGTTCACGATTAATATTTTTAGATTGATAATACAATTGCATCATTTTTTAAGCATTATAGAAGTCACAGTAAACATTAAACTTATGCATGGCGGAAAAGAAATATACGAAAACGATAGGTGCAATGTTCATGCAGCCTTGCAAATAATATTTAAAAAAAAAAACATTTAATTAAACTTAAGACTTTAATTTAAGTATTTTTGATAGGATGTTGAAGTTTCCAGAACATAGAAAATACACAAGAAAATCTATTAGTACACTAGTCTATCAAATGTGCTTGCTGTCCATTTTACAATATATTATTGAAGAATTTAGTGTTTTCTTATTCATTCTGACATCTGTGTCCCTGGATCTGAAAAAGAAATTGCGAGGACGTTATGCTTATCAGTTTACCTTTAAAATGATATTTCAAACAAAATGGCCCTAAAGGTAAATGTCATCGTCAGATGTATAATGGAAGGTGATAAACACTTAAGAATATATATCACCTGCTGGTTCTTTTTACCTGGACACAGATCTTATTACGTAACAAGTTCGAATGTAAAATTATCGAATTGGTATATTCAGTCGAATGTATACGGTATCTCTGGACTGGGGTTTTTAAGATATTTTGATCTGACAATGTATGAAAATTTATTTGTGCTTCAAATCACTGATTTCAAATTATAGACCAATCTCATTATTATCAACAGTGGGAAAAGTATTTGAAAAAATTGTATTTAAAATGTATACTGACCGACTTTAGAAACGCAACACTAGATTATTCTTTTTAAATTTTTGAATGAATGTGGCACTGTCAAAAGCAATGACTGCCTGTAACAAACGCCAAAATTATTGTCAGAAAGATCAACCAATTCTGTTCCACATGTTTTGGGTTCTGTTTTACACCTTCTGAATATGCGGTTGTTCCTCCCATTACAATGGGTTTTGGCAATTATGCGGCTGAAACTTCAGGGCTTTAAATGTTTTTCTTCAGTGGAATCTTTGGCAGTTCAGGTTATGGAAAACGTTTATGACATGAATCTGTGTGCAATGGCATTCGACAATTTGATAAGCAGTTGACGTTGCGGCCGTAAACATGTCTCGCAAATGACGTTGCGTAATCAAATTCTATTGACGTTGCATTGTCACTACATGATGATCTGGTCATTGATGGTAAGCAACAATTCCTGTCTACCTGTATCGATGTCGGAAGGACAGTAAGACGGGTTTCTGAAGTCAAACTGTATGGTTGCAGCACGTTCACGTTTTCTTGTTTGCAGTATTCTTATGGGCTGATTTAGTTTTTTATTCCTCAGTCTTGGCAATATGGAGATGCAACATTTTTTAACTGATTTAAGTGTGGCCAAGGATTAAAAGAACTGTTTCACGAAGCAAAACAAACTGAAAAAATCTTTTATGGGTTTCAAATTTCGCTTTACGAAATTCGTGCGACTTCAAAAATCCGGTATGTTCAATAACCACAGGTAAGTCAGATGTTGATTTTTTCTTAAGAGAAAGAAGTATGGTAAGCATGAACAGTAGTTGTATGAGAATCAAACATGATGTGGGAAAAAAAATCAACAAAATGAGTGTTGCGTTTTTAAAGTCAGTCAGTATATTTAATCACTTAATTAGTTATATTTCAAATATACAAGAAAGCGTTTTTGTTTCAAGTTCATATTCGCCTTTTTAGAATACTAATGCAGGAGTTCCACAAGGCTCTGTATTAGGTTCCGTACTATTCCTTATTGATGTATATGAGATAGCTGGTAATTTGATAAGTCTAACTCGATTGTCTGCTGATGAAACATCCCTTTCTAATTTAAGTATTATAGTCCTTACACAATAGAGGATGTCTTTAATAGCGATTTAGAACAAATTTCAGCATGGTCTAAAGATTGGCTTATTGATTTTAATCCTAACAAGACAATTACTATGCTATTCTCCTGTAATTCTTCCCCAGATGATATTAAAATAGAACTTCAAAATCAAGTAGTAGAATTGTCTCCTATCATAAACACTTAGGGATTTCTTTTGATTCCAATGGTAAATTCTATACACATATATAAAACGTTTTAAATTGTGCAAGCACAAGATTAAATTTCTAAAAAGAATTGAAATATGTATTGACTAGAAATCAGTATCTTAATCGTATAAACTTAACACTTATAAGATTAATTATGGAATATGCATGTGAGTTATGGGATGGCTGTACTCAACAAGATTCCGACAATCTAGAACATGACGTTTAGTTGGAAGCAGGAAGATGAGTAACTGGGTTGTCCGTGTTTTCTAGTCCGGAAGTTATATATTTTCAGTGGTACAGGCCCACATTTGCTAGTGGACAGAAGAAAATCCAGAAAGCTCAATATGTTCTATTCTTCACATAAAGAGGGACTGCCTCTACGATTTAATGCCACTTTTTCAGTTATAAATAGATATAACCAGAAAAAATCTTTTTTTTTTCATCTACTTCTATCGAATGAAATAGCCTAAACCCCGACATATGTACGTCCAGAAATATGATTATATTTATCTAACTTGATACAGACACAATTGCACTCCAATCTTTATTATTAAGGACAGTTGATTGGATAAAAGTGATGGATTGCCACGCCTATATTAAAACTGAGGTCCTATGAACTGACTTCAGATAGCTCCCAGTATTCGAATTTGATAAAAAATGGTTGTGGTGGTGTGGGGGGGGGGGGGGGGGGGGGAGTCAGATCATCGTTTCTATAGTTCTATATCTTTTATTTTTCTACCATTTCAGTTTTCTTTATTCTTCTGCCAATCAATCTGTATAATAATTGTCCTAAGCATACATGTAATTTTTGCCACTGGACGTTAAGCAACAAACAATCACCTCTTTATTCTGTTATCTATATTTATTTAAATCTATTGGTCCCATGAGTCTCTGTTCTTTAAACCCCATCAGCGACATATATTATATATCTCTGACCCCATTCATATCCTCATAAATGATAACCTTTTCCTAGCCTCATACATATACGTACATTGTAACTGAAACAGGAAAAATATAAAGTCATATTACTGTATGCTGGAACTAATAGATAAACGTATTAGTTCCAGATTATCTTCTATAAAATGCAATTGCGTTTTAATTAGAAACAATGACAACCAAATTCTTTTTTTGTGGAAAGAGTGGGGGGACAGTTTTTTTTTAAACAAATTATTGGTTTCCTTTGAAAATAGTAGTGAAAAGAAAATACGACATTTAGTTTATAAAAATGATAATGTGAGAATTTTGTTATGAAGACATATCCCATACATCGATACTTATATTCTTGGCACTAAACATTTATTTGTACATATTTATTTAAAACACAGATTTTGGTTAGTAATTTCTTTCCTGGTCAGGGGATGATATTGTATTAAAAACCAATAAAAATATTCGTACTTTTCCAATCAACATGTACATCAAATCAAGGAGGTTATATGAGATCTCATATAACCTCCTTGATCAAATCTTTTTAAATGAGACATTACACACACGTGTCAAAATTTACAGACCCACCGATAACTTGTCATAATCACGCATGTTGAAGCTGGGGTTAATTAACGGCTAGTTAAGAAGTCAAATCTAGCTGTGATTAATTTCCACTCTTGATAAGCAGATTCAGTAGCAATATAATCATGTTAGAAAATGTATTGGTGACCTGGACTGGGGGCCGCACGTGCCCCCTGTGCCCCCGGTAAATCCGCCACACTGCCCATTTTTTTTAAGTTATTCAATATGAAGAAATACAAAAAAAATCAGCTGGTTTTGAAACTTTTTAAGAGTTGCAAATATTTAACAAATTAAAATTATGATACAGAATGATTCTTTTTATTTGTTTTCCTCACGAGTGTTTGCTGAAGCATTTTTTCCCGAATCCCGAAAAGTTTGATCATATATTCCAGAGTTTAATACGTGTAAAAACCGAATTCAAACACATAAAAAAGTCCCAACCCGACGTTCATAAAAGGTCTGTTCTAGAGTTAAGTTTAATTTTCAGAAATTAAAATCAAACACAATGTTTTATACAAATTCGTCTTCAGACACGTAAATAATATAGGTTATTAGCTTGCCTGGATTGTGATAGAAAATATCCAATGAACTGCATAAAATATCTAATGCTATGGGTCACGCATGGACTGTCTTACTTTATCATGTTTATAGGGATGCCCATGTGGCACATCAAAGATAAGATTGATTTACCCATTGTACTTTAGAATTGCAACAAATCTTAAATTCACTTGAATACATTAATATATTGACCTGTTATCTTGTCGACCTTAAAGCCAACATACAGATGGCCGTTATATCCTGAGAAGAGACCTCGATGAAATTTGAAAGTTTAACAAATCTTAGTTTTCACGGGAACGAATATTTTGTAAAAACGTTGTAGTGATCAGATTATCAATGACGCGTAATATGATGAAAAATGATGTCCTGCATTTTTCTATAAATGTAAACTCAATGTAAATATAGTCCTGCTTTTTTATTTTACACTCTATTCGGTCCTTCCTTTCTTAGTTATTAATTTTTCCTGACTTGTTTTACATAAAGTCATCATGCCTTTTTCTTTTTGGCAAGATGCCCATCCTTCCTTTTTTTCTCTAAACTCCTGTCATGCCCTTTTTTCAAGTTTCATACTAGCCCCCAGCCCCGCCCCTAAAAATAAATGGTAGCTCCCTTATTTTGAATCAGTTGTCCTCCGACAATAGAGTACAAACTAGCAGTATTGGCAGTTTGACATTTCTTCATAAATGAGCTACGTGACGACTTACTTTAGATATGCTTATTGTGATATAAAGTTAAAAGGTCTTTCTTCTTACAACGAATTTGCAAACATTAATATATTATTAAGATCAGTACACTGTGTGTGTCCATGTAGCCGTGAGATATGGGACTTACGTATTTTCACGTCAGACAAACTTCTTCGTGCATGTGACTTCATATTCGATTAAGTAATTTCAAAAGGGATAAAAAAATGTCTTAATTGATAATTTCTACATTGCATTTAAAAAATCCATTGAAAGAATATTGTATAATTAAAAATCATCGCCCGCTGTTGGAAGTTCAGTTTCGCCATTTTTTCGTGCTTGTCATGAGACGATATTTCAGGGGTTTCGATTGTTAATAGATATAGGAAGATGTGGTATGAGTGCCAATGAGACAACTCTCTATCAATGTTTATCGTTTATAAGATGTTGTACTTTCAATGCTATTTATAAACGCAGAGTAAAATTAAAAATGTTTGGTATACAAATTTTAAATTATTCATCTTAAAAAATATTCAGAAGATAATGGGAAATATCAAAAAATCATGATATAAATTTAAAGAAAAGAAGAAAACCCAACTCATTTTTTATTAAAATTGAAAATCCAACTTATGAAAAGTCGTCTTGACCTCTAAAATTCTATACACAGAAAACAAGTACTTATAGTATCTTAAAATGTCCAAATAGAGTCCGTTTTATAAACGCGCACTGAACATAATTGTTATATTTCTATTCAGACATTCCACATTTTATCAACCGTTTCTGAACTATTTTTTGAAGATTACGAATCCGTGGCTTCATTGCACATTTAACGCAAAATACATTTTGTTTTTTTTTATTAAGAAAATCAGTAAAATACACAGTTACTTGTGTGTAAAATAATTTCAGTGGAAGCTTTCTGAAGGTATTTGATAGGACGTACATGTACGCCAATTCATGAGGGCGTGACAAATTGTCACCAATGTCCAATCAAGTTTTTCTGTTGTTCAAAGTTTGACGTGCGGTGATGTTTGAACAGTGTTGAGTGCATTTTACATTTGTCATTTCGGATTCTTTAATATCTTACTATGCTGTATGGATTTTGCTCATTGTTGAAGGCCGTACAGTGACCTTTAATTTGTTATTTCTACGTTATTCAGTCTCTGGTTAAATTCTCTCATTAGACATTATACATTAATTTCCCGTGTCTGAGGGAGATATGAAGATTTGTTCACCCAAGAATATTCATATTTCACGAGGGCTCTGCCCGAGGGAACTCTGATTTTTCGAGGGTGAGCAAATCTTCATATCTCCCGAAGCAAAGGGAAATGAATGTTTTATTCCACTGCCTATGGTTTGTTTACTATCAATACATTAAATATTATTTTGCATACATTTTGTTTTCTTATCCGCTTGTTTTTATAAGTTAAACAAAACACGACTCATACCCATTGATAAACAGTACGGATCAAAATTTAATTATAAGTCTTTTTGTTTTATCGTCTGAAATAAATTTGAACATGATAATGATTATTGCTATCGCTATTTTAAGAAGAATAAGAAGAATAAGAAGTTCAAAACGTTATGTACATTAACCGCGCGTAACGTCACACGATGTTATCCCGACATTTCAGAGGGGAATATGATCCTCAGAATGGAATATGAAGATTTGTTCAACGACACGTGGGATAGTCTCAACCAATCAGATATTGATTAAACTATCAATATGTATAAAAAGTGGAATAATATCCCATTATAGATTAGGGCTGTATAGCCAGTCAAGGTCGTTAAAAACTTCCATCTGTTATTATAGATGACATCATTTGCACACCGACCGTGCGAGGGCTGTATAGCCAGTCAAGGTCGTTAAAAACTCCCATCATCATCATAGATGAACCGACCGTGCAAGGGCTGTATAGCCAGCCAAGGTCGTTAAAAAGTTCCATATATATATCATAGATGATCAGGTTTGATATAAAAAAGAAAACTACATTATCGTATCTCGGATATATATCTATTAAATATAATAAAGAAAACTTAAAGTAAGATTGAGTACAACAAAAGCTTTGCCTTTTAGTTATTAAATCCTTGATGCTGTCTCCTTCAGACTGTCAAACACCGTCACCCTACGAATATAGTCTCTAGTGTGAACAGTGTATAACTTGCATTTTTTTTTTGGATATACTTTCCCAATTTATTTTTTGAAATTTAATGCACGAAATATCAAGAAGGGGGATGAAATTACATGTTAAAACAATTTGGGTGCTGAATCTTTATGTTAAGGAGTGATTTGGTCCAGTTAAAATAGGTAAAACATTAGTACGTCTGAAGCTGTCAAACTGAATTTTAGACCCCCTTATCACAGAATTGTCAATATTTTGAGTTAGAGCTGGTATAGAGGAGGAACGACACTCTGCACACGGCACGCAGATTTGTCTTCTATTATCGATCGGTCGCGGTGGTATTGTGTCATTTATATCAAACTACTCGTGGTGTTGACATCACCGTTAATGACACCTGGACAAACGAAATTTGTTGAATCAATTAAAAAAAACAAATAATATACAGGAGGGCTGATCATGCAATATACATATACTTTGTACATACATAATAAACAAATTTGTTAGTTATTTCTTGACAATAAACATATTTATACCCAAACTAACTGTTTATTACCAAGGGCTAATTTCGACATCGATAATCACTGAATTCTCAATTTATTCAATCGGTTTTAAGTTTTTAATCGGGACAAAGTTTTGTAAAATACTTAATTTTAAATATTGCATTATTTCGTCATTTGTCAGTTAACAAAACAGAGATAACACTAGAGAGAAGGCAATTAAGCAATCCAATACACAAATAATGCACGATTCAATTATGAAAAAAAACTATATTTATCATGATGGTTATTCATAAGACAAAATTTTCATTTTGTTTTCAAAATGATTAAAATACATATAAGAGTTTATATGCCTAAAATAACATAATTACTAGCGGATTTGACAAATATTATTGATATTTTACTTACCGGAAATCATATTTTAGCGACTTATTACAAAGCAACGGCTGGAGACTTAAGGAGACTTAAGAAGATTTAGAATGTTTGAATAGTGTTCTTTAATTGGCATAAATTTGAATGATTTTCACATGCTGACATTTGTAAAATTTACAAAAATCTGTGCCTCGTGATTTCGCAGAGATCGAATAAAATTTCCCGCCATTACAGTGCATTTCTTTATTGATAGAATTTACTTAAAAGATAAAAAAACATAAAGAAAATATTTCATATAAAGTGATCTTCTATCATTGATTAATCTTTTTATTTCAAAACTTTCTATATTTTCTGCGAGTGCAAGAGAGTATATTTGATATAAAAACATGAACAGATCGATCTTTTCCAGATTCAAAATTGTCGAGAGACGCTAAAATCGTACCACGTGACCTACAAAAATTTGCACACAGCACCTAAGGCTGTCGCCCCTCCTCTGGAGCTGGTAGAAGTTACTATAATTTTGATATTATTTGTCCCAATAGTAGTACACTACACTGTAAAAATCTTTCTTGAGATAGAGCAGGTGCGATTTTTTTAATTTGAATTTATTGTCTAAAAGAAATGCACTACGAAATAACTGTGTTCTCGGGCCTAATTGTTAACGTGGTATTATACATGTATGTGATAAATTGTTGTAAGCAAAAGTAAACTGAGTATAATAATTTATTCACAGTACGCACTTCCTAGTTCAGTTGTGGTGATAGAAATCTTAATATCATTGATACACAGTTGAGAAATATGGTGCAGTTCTTCAAATGCAGATTTAAACCTTATTAATATTAAACCCAATCCCGCATGCAGTTGTGGCCATCCTGTTGAGGATAGTATTCATTATTTTTTAAGTGCCCTTTTATCAACGAAGCAACAGAAATATTGTTTTCAAAATTAGAAAGATCTACTATATCCATTTTGCTTCTATTGGCTGGTGACGGTGACCTTTCATTTCAGCAAAACAAAGACTTTTTTGAGTCTGTACAATCATTTATCAGAAATACACAAAGATTTAGAACATTCAATTAAAATTAGGAATTCCTACTTCCTAACTCTTCACTCTAGTCCAGTTTTATATATTACTCTATATTATATTATACTTTTTGTTTTTGAGACAAGGCCATATTTTGTCAAAAGAGAAGCACAATTACCCCAAAGCGAATTGCGAGAAGTGGTTTCGTATTTCGTTATAGAAAAAAAAATACTAGTAGTTTATGTAAAGTAACGACTCTCGTACGGTGTCGCGTTAATATCTTTTTAATAAATTGGTGCAATTGGATGCAAAACATAATGACCATAAAATGTCAGGTTTGCGAGATCAGACAGTAACCTAACAACTAAACAATTGAAAATCTAGGGATCAATATTTAACATTCGTCAGCAATGAGCAATTTTCATAAATAAAACATGATTTAGTCGAATACTTTGCGAGTAAAGAAAAAGAGACTACCATAGATTTGTTATTAACCCCAAATGCTTGATGGGTACAAATCAGTATTCAGGAGTTACCTTTTTTGCATTAAACCACATTACAACAGAAATTGGAAAATATGGCCTGGAAGTATTTCTATAAGACATTGTTGTTTTCCTGTTCTATGAAGCTTTCTTATTGGCAAACATGGTGATAGATTTTATAGATGCTGTCAGGCACCGACCATTGAAAACAATCGATCTGTTTAAAATAAGAAAAGAAAATAACTGTTTGATGTTGTTGTTTTTTTTGGCAAATAAGAAAAATGACCGTTTGATTTAAAATTGTTTAAAATTATTTTGAAATAGATTTATGAAAATAATTTATTTACATGTGAAAAGACTTTGTGGCGTAGGGATGTGATTGAGTGGTTTTGTTTACAATTATTTCCCATTATTTCGGCAGTGAAAATCTGCAATAATTATTTGTTCATCATGTTGTGTGATTTACACATTATAACAAAACTAAGAATATGACGGATGAATTTAGAGTTAGCTGTTTAATGTCCAGTGGCAACTATTATATGTATTATTAGGAGGACATTTAAAATGTTATAAATATGAACAAGGACATCCTTTGTTATGCAAACATGTATCACGGCACAAGCGATGACCTATAGACCGTGTGTATCATATGTATATTTAGGGTGGGGTTGCTCCGAATAAAGGAGGTATAGATACAGGAAAATAAAGAAAAAAAAAATATAAAATTAGAATAGAGTATAACGGGAAAAATAAAGAACAGAGGAAAATAGTATAAGAAAATTAAAGAATAGAGGGTCTAGTTTTTTTGCCGGACAATTGTTGATGATAGTTTAAAGTCAAGTGCATTTATAGTTAAAACAATACACAATCGTATGTACATCGGTAGGGATTTATGTTTAGGGTTGATGAGGCACATAACGAGTAATTGTTTTTATTTGAAATTTCTCGAATATTTGTTTTTTTTCGACTGATTTGATAGATGAATAAAAAAAATCTATAATCTAAAAAAATTGGTTTAATTACGATATATGGATACAACTGCTATTCAGTCGATTTTAAAATACATGCGATAAAAGAGAATACATAAAAAAATTAACAAACCTTTTGGACAAAAGGTCAACCTTAAGACCCCAAATAAACTTTTGTAAGAACATTAGATTAATTCCGAATTCCATCTTAAATCAATTGTTCATTTACGTAAAAAAAATAATGTTAATACCTTGGGCTATTTTCAAAAAATGTTGACTAAATACCATGCAGACTGCAGTTTACTCGCACATTCACCAAGTACGTATTTCTACGGCTAACAAAATTCATAATCGTATCTTTTAATTTGTTTAAATTTATTTCAGTGTTTATTTTTCAAACGTTTTATGTAAATAATTTTGGATCAACATAGAGTCAGCCCAAATTATAATTTATTAAATTATTAATTAAAAACTGAAACATGCATCCAATCTAAATTTTACGCCTATTATCACCTATATAAAAAAATTAAACAGAACACCATTCATGTTTTATATTTAAAAAAAAACATATACGCTAAACGAAACTATGCACGCCGAGAAACGATGTACGCTAAACGATACGATATACGCTAAACGAAACGATGTACGCTAATACGCTAAACGATACGGTATACGCTTAATGAAACGATGTACGCAAAACCATACGATGTACAATAAAAGGGCGCTTATGTTATCGTTTATGGTATGGTTTATGGTATATGGTTTCGTTCGTACATCATTCGTTCAGCGTCCGTACAACGTTCGGTCAGCGTTTCGTTTGCATTCGTACACCGTTCGGGAAGCGTACGTACATCGTTCGGGCATCGTCCGTACATGATTCGGGCATCGTTCGTATTGTTAACTTTTACGTTACACGGACTGTAATAAAATAGGTAAATTCCTAACACATTCTATAGTAAAAGTAACTTTATCTGAATTATCTGCCCTTACATTGGAGTTGCCTCCCCTTATATTGTAAAGTTGGAAAAAATTGAATCAAACAAGAAGTATTCTGTTTTTTGTAAAATACAACTATAAATATGATAAAACATGTCATTTTCTATATTGAAATCAAAATTCTTACACATGCATTACCTACTTCTCTCAAAATTTGCACACTTTATTAAAGATCTAGACCAATTGTTTTCTGGTATTTCAAAATCCAAGATGGAGGAAGACACCCTATCTACCTTAAGAGAAGGGTTTTCCTCTTAGGCAAAGGAAGTTATACCCTGCAATATAATTCTTTCACTCTGAAAATGGAACGCCCCTGTGGTAACTGCTAAAAACCTGTATACGAATGTGTGTATTTAGAGAAAAATGTGAAACATGGTTTCAATCAAAATGTCAGAAATTAACAAAAGATTAGTTCATGATCTTAGGCCAAACTAAAAGCTGTAACTACATAAGTGCACAATATTGTCAGACAAAAGATCATAAATTTAACTATGATTAGTCCCTTTGTAGATTAGAAGTATATGCAAATACATATTTTTGTTGACTGAAACATAAAAATTGAACAAATGTTGCTCAGAAAAGAACCACTAAAACGCACGAATAACTGTAGAGACAAAGCACGCATATTCTGACATGGGCTCTTTCGTTTAAGACAGGTTTTCTAGACAAACATTAAATGAACAAAGCATGAACAATAAAGTCTCAACAAATGACAATTGTCACGTCAATTCTTTTTCAGTGGACATGTGTGGTTATGAAATTCTTGCAACAAGACTGAGCGTATTGACTTGTATAGAGATGGTAAAATATAAGCAAATTTATGACACAACTAAACACAATAGACCAAAACTAGTCTCACCATCATAAGACGAAACTTGTAGAGCTGCCGCAAAAACCAAGTATTTTCCTCCGCCTGAACTATTCTTGCCGCAGCATCGGTAATAGGTTGTCCAATTCAGTCAGTGTATCCTCCCCGAAATGGAATGAATTAACTTTGCATACGGGGCTTTAGGTAAATTATGCATACTATAAACTGTGCATTTATGCTGAGTTATCATAGTTAAGGACTATAATTTTCTCAATCTTCATGAAATATTTATACAATTTTATATTTGAGTTAGTTTCATTAAAATTTTTGAGGATAATCCAGATTTGGTGAAATTCTACATGTTCTCTTTTTTCAACAAATATAGGTTGCATTTCTGTAAATATAGACAATGCAATTGCCCATAGGAACTCCTCTTACAGCTTATACTGCGCCACTTTTACTATGAAGTATATGAAAAAAAAGTATATCCTAGAATGAAAAGTTCATATGCACTACTATTTTTTCACAAAGATCAAAGCATAGGGCTGTGCGTCATATTTTCGACATGTACATGCCTCGAACTTTTAAGAGTTTAAACTTATACTAAAATTCTGTATTACCCCTCTATTCGCTTTGTGTCTTCCTCAAAATTCAGTTTGGCCGCTATGCATGTGTTTTTATACTGGTAACATTCCCAAGTTATGTCTCTATGAGATGAAGCATAGAGATCATATCTGGGAACAAGAACGCAAACAAAACAAAAATATGTAAGAATATTTTATATCACCCCAAAAGAGGCGTCGTTTGTGAAACAGCTGTATTAACAAAGTACAACCTATAAAGCTTCCACAAAATTAATAGGAGTTAATTGATAATTTCGGCCTTGTTGACTTATTTGGAAATCTCAACCAATAAATCGTGTATGTTATTGGTAGTTTCTATCTATCTATTAAATTTTCACGATAATAGCCAAAAATCGCCAAAGACTGGTACAAATCATTATTTAAGAGGAATAACACCTAGAAGGAGACATCTGACGATTTTTTTTCGAAATAAAAAGAATGTAGATCTTGACATTATGAATATTTCTGCCCTGCCAAAGTTTGTCTTCCTATAACGATTTTCTAGATAATTTATAACGCTACATTTTACCTGTGTGGTTTTTTTTTTAGTCTTCAGATCTCAGGCGGAATTATCGGAAACACATTTCCAGGAAAAATATTGTTAGAGTCAACCGACGATGACGACGGACACCAAGTGATGCCAATAGCTAACAATGGGCCTTTGGAGGGTAATAGCATAACGTATACGACAATTTGTCCAACAAACAACATTTTGCGTCCCTAGCAAATTCTAGTTAATCAATGATATTCTCGAAATTTCTCACATTTCTGCTCCACATATTCCTTATTATTGTTCGTAGACATAAGGACAAAAGACTTATTTGGTAAAAATTTTAGAGCGTGACGATATCTCATTGTACCAAAACTAGAGAAAGGAAGCACGTGTTTGGTGCAGCTCTCTTTAGTTAACAATTTGTTGAGTTATATTAAACTGTTTTCGTTTATTATTATTTTTTATTCATTGGAAGCCCGAAAACCCGCCAGAGCTGTTTAACAAAATTTACAAAGAAGTAAAATTGCAAGAAAATCTTGTCATTGGCACTCTTTATGACCATGGAGATTTTGAGCTAAGCTCTTTAGTTAGCCATTTACAATGTGTACAAATCTCTCTGACAGATGATCAGACAAAGAAAGGGCATTTATAGCATTGCAAAAATGTTTGACTCATGGGAAAAAGGTAAACAAAAATCCTGAGTCCACCGCTTCAACAGATGGTGGGCACCCCTTTGAAATGTGACCATAATTTCAAATCAGGATTAACTGAGAGATTTGTGTGGAAAGGTGAAAGGTGCTCCAGCTGCAGCCATTCTTATCGTGTATGGGGAAATTAAAAGGGAGGGATAAAATTATTATAAATATCCTGCAATAATACACATGATAATGTAAATCCATTGAATTTTTTTTTTTAATTTAAGTAATTATACTTGTAAGAATCTGTTTATTTTAACAAAATATCAGGGATTATTGGTTCTTTGTGATTTTGTAGGGGGAAACTGGTGCATGATCTGCCAAGAAAACTGTAAAGAATTTTTAGCAGAACATTTCTAGTTGGAAGTCCTGATACAGCAATTTTAATTACAGAAAGGAAGAGAGGTTTATTTATGATCTTTATTGTGTCTTAAAATACTGACTTAACATTCATGATATTAATCTGCTCATGAAATATTCTGGGGACCATGGTCTACCATGGTAAACCATGGTTTTTGGCAGTGGTAAATTGCTATTGTAAACCATGGTTGCCAGCGACCATGGCTATAATTTATAATTGGAATTGCCACAAACCATGGTTATGGTTAACCATGGTCAACCATGGTTGATTTTTAATTTAACCACTGCCACAAACCATGGTTGACCATGGTCATATGGTCAACCATGGTGTCTCGTTTAATAAACCATGGTTAACCATGGTCAACCATAGGTCATATAACCATGGTTGACCACGGTTAAGCATGGTCAACCATGGAACATTTCGCAGGGGCTGAGATCCTTCAAAACAAACACATGTGCTTGCAAGTCTAGTCAAGGAAAACGTACCAAATGTGACAACTATGCATCTTCAAAAAAAGACTAAAATACAGTGAACCTTAGTGGTAAAAATGTCTACTGTTTGTCAAAACTGGCAGACAACCATGTACAAAGTGTATAGTGATTATTATAGATATCAATGTAAATATTGCTCTCTCTCTCTCTCTCTCTCTCTCTCTCTCTCTCTCTCTCTCTCTCTCTCTATATATATATATATATATATATAAGTCTGAAAATTACACCCAACAGTGTTAGAATTAGACTTGTATGCTGACAAATTTTTGTCCCTCAACGGGATTCGAACTCACACCTTTGAGTATATAATATATATAAGAAAATTAATAAAAG